CCCGCTGTACACGAAATAGAATGAGGAATAAAATCGAGTATTAACAAACATTTAAGTCACTAAGTTTATTTTATAGCATTGTGTAACAAACAAGCACACAGTCCACCTGATGGTAAGTGATGCTGTGGCCCATAGACATGCACATTTAAACTTAATTAAGAATCAAAATGGAAATACGTTGTCACTCCTGAGGACTAAGATGGAATGCCTCGTTATTATTGTAATGCACATTACAATAACAACCTGCTGTCCTAATAAAATATCAATGAGTTGAATTATTTTTTTCAACACGAATGTTTTTTTGCGTGTTAGAGTCACGCTGCAGCTATATTATGGTTGTAGCGTGAATGGGTCGGCTCAACCGAGGAAGAACCAAGCTCTCACAGAATACCAGCGTAAAATAGCAGCTTAATACTGCTGTGTTTCGTATGGTGAGTGTAGACATCCGTAGACCCCTTTTTACTGGGAACGAGGCATTCCATCTTCGTCCTCAGGGGTGACAACACATCTGCATTTTGATTCTTAATCGAGGATAAATGTAGATTGTCTATGGGCGACAGCGGTCACTTACCATCGGGTGGGCTATGTGCTCATTTGTCACCCTTATTCTATAAAAAAAAAACAATTAACATCAGCCATTCGTAAAGAATAAAATAAGAAACAACACAAAATTTTGAATACGTAATTAATTTAAAAGTCCCAAAGCACTCCAGTTGCTTTCTGCAACTGACATGTATTTTTTTTACAAATTCATATTTAGTTTTTAATTTTTCAATCAAAATTTTATCGCTGACGTAATCGACGATCATTTGACCAATTTATACAATAATGCCGGATCTCGGCGTAGTTCAAGTCTCGAAAGCTGCAACCTTAATTGAAAATGGTTAAACTTACAATCAAGTGGGTCAAATATCGTGAGTTTTAAGCCTTAATTTTCCGCAGTGTTAAAGGATACCGGCAGACTAGAGAATATACGAGACGTAAAGAAAAAAGTTATACATCGTATTTCGACTTTTTTGAGGTAAGATTTTTTGTAACTAAAGTAACCAGCAAAACTAGCATTGCTTTTAACTCTGCTAATATTATCTTTAACAAATCTTGGTAAGCTTAAAAATGCTTGTGTTAGGAGTATTTCACGCCAGTTGTCGAATGGTGGATTATTACCTTTGAGTTTAGGGTCAGCATTGTGTCATTTGGCTATTATCGCTTATAGAGAACTAGACTTCACAAAGTTTGGCGAGCGACGGTTGTCAATTAAATGATAACAAAAAAAATACGTGTGGCACTCGGTGACTGCCGCGGTAAAGCTATTGCATAGCATTTTTTATCAACTTGTGCAATTATAATTATTTATTTATTTTATTTATGCAGTTAAGTCTTTGATATTAAATCAAGTTACACTTTTTGAGCGTGGTGACCGATAAGAAAACAATTTTTTTTCTCTTATTGAATAAATGAGAAGTTAATATTGTTTAAAATACTTTTAATATCTTACAATACATGTAGGTTATTCAGGAATTTTTATCATTGAGTGAGCAGCTAGTGTACACGCATACGTCTAGTCGCACGCACACAAACACCGTGCCGAAGTCTGCCGAGTGCCGAAGTCTGCTGAACTGAAACGACGTTAGACGATGCACGGCTTTCAAACCACACATCCGTGCCCGTCGGAGTGGGGAGCGTGAGGTTTTTATTCGTTACGGAATTTCTGGATTCGGTCCCCCCGCTCAAGGCCCGCGATAGAAGCTATGCAATAGCTTAAAAACTCCAGGCAGCTGGAGTTGCGGCATAGAGAACTGCCGAGAAGCTCGCAAAATTGAGCTCGCTCACACTGAAACTCGGATGATGATGATGACAGTACTCTTTACTGACGAATCTCAGTTATGTCTTAAGCTTACAATTTCACACTCAGTGTAACATTGTCAAAAAGGAGCCTAATAGGATTTGGGAAGGCGTACGGAAGCACGTACGTGGTAGAGCCACGCTGCAGCTATATTATGGTTGTAGCACCGATGGGTCGGCTCGATCGGAGAAGAACCACGCTCTCACAGAATACCAGCGTAAAATCGTAGCTTAATGCTGCTGTGTTTCGCATGGTGAGTATTAAGAACCGGAGAACTTACTGGAATCGAGGCATTCTATCTCAGTCCTCATGGATGACAACGTATGTGCATTCTTTATCAAGATTAAATGCAGATGTCTATGGGTCACAGCATTACTTACCATCAGGTGGACTGTGTGCTCGTTTGTCACCCTTATTCTATAAAAAAAAACAATATACGACGCAGAAAACAGGTCCCTGATCGGCACGGCACGGTCCGTAACGGAGATTTTAGAATATATTGTGAAGCTTTATACCCCATACACTACAATTGGTAACAATTTTCTTTTAATGTATGATAATGCTCGCTCCCACTCTAAAGAATTAATTTCGAAATATCCTAGGGCGGTTAAAATCGACGTATAGGAGGAGTGGTTGCTTCTTGATAATTTTTCGTATTTTTTTTGCGTGCCTCTAAATATTTCCATGAGTGGTACACAACAACCGCTGTAACTCTGAATAAAGCATGAATATTTTTTCATTATCACATGAATTTACCATCACTTTAAAAACTATAACATGAAAGAAGCGAAACTAACATGAAAGAAGCGAAAGAGGTATGTAAGGATCGTGACACTTGGCGATTTGTTCTCTCTGGCTACCCCGTTAGGGATTGTGCGTGAAGATAAGTAAGTAAGTAGTAACTTTAAAAACTATACAAATATATATTGTATCGTATAGCTCCCAGAACCAACAACTGATAGGGAAGAAAGTATAAGTCAACTTTACGCAGGACCATGTTTTGTAGCATTACTTGGGGGAGGCCTATGTTCAGCAGTGTATTTATGGGACTGCAATTATGATGATTTTATGAATTTCATCATCATAGTCATTACAGTCATTCACAAGTCTACTGCTGAAAATAGGCCTCCCCCAAGGAATGACACAAAGCATGGTCCTGAGCCACCTGCATCCATCGACTTTCTGCATACCTTACCAGGTCGTCACTCCATCTAGTGGGTGGTTGCCCTACACTTCACCTACCGATACAAGGATGTCACTCAGGAAACTTTTCCTCTATCAGTTCTCGGTTCTTCCAGATATATAGCTGGCCCATTGCCACTTCAGCTTACTAATCCATTGGGATTTGTCCGTCACTCTGGTTCTACTATGGACATCCTCATTTCTAAGTTTATAACGCAGAGAAATTCCGAGCATAGCTCTCTCCATAGGCCGTTGTACGACCTTAAGCTTCTTCATACGGCCAGCAGTAAAGGACAACGTCTCAGATCCGTAGGTCGTCACTGGCAACACGAACTGGTTGTACAATCTTAGAAAATGTGTCATACTCATTTTTTGTCGAAGCGCTGGAGCTTGACCAGGTCCACTTTTTGTGGGGCCTCTTCTTGAAGAAAGAGTTCATCATAAATAGTGCCTATTTACCATGAAGTCGGAGAGTTCCTCGGCTGACAGGATCCTTGAGTTCCGTTGCCCTATTCAAAATTTTCCTACCTTCAGCTTAGGGTTCCAGAACGCCGCCTAGCCGATTTGAATCCGTCAATTGACCTCTCGGACGAAGTTGGACTTACGTAGTCGGACTTCGTCCGAGGAAACACATTCCACTAGATCGTAGAAGGTAAGTGGGTTCTGTGACGCATAGATATCTACGTTTATCCTCGATTAAGAATTAAAAAATGGAGAAGCGTGGTCACTATTAAGGACTAAGAAGGAATGCATGGTTCCAGTAAAAAGGATCTTCGATTCTTTACACACACCATATGAAAGACAGCAGCATTAAGCTGTTATTCTACGCTGATATTCTGTTGGAGCATGGTCATACCACGGTCGAGCCGACCCATTCGTGCTACAAACATAATAGAGCGACAGCGTGGCTCTACGACGTATGTTGTGTCTCAGTAAACCCCAGTTAAGATAAGTAATATAGTTTAAGAGGAGTCTTTCTAATCGAAGGAAAGTCCCTTAGACGCAACGTCACAGTCTTCGCGTAGTTTATCTTTTACTATCGCATTTTATCACATAAATATGCGAAAGCAGCAAGCCTCTCAGTATTCTACAGGACGCGTTATGGTAAGTGTGCGCCAGAATTACAAGAATTTATTCCTCCCCTCTTTTTTCACTATTGTACAACTAAAAATTTGGCTTGTTTAATGTGGACATACCACGCTTTTACACCAAACGATTCGCTTCGTATTTCGAAAAAGAGTACAATGAAGAGTTCAATTATTGCCATCGTGTTTCTTTCTATCTGATAAAATATATCGTTCTTGCCTTTATCTCGATGTTTAAAAAATGTTACTTTTATAAATATGTTTTTTTTTAGAAAATGGTACAACAAATTATAATAATTACACTTTTTTCACAGAAGAAAATAAATAAGCTCACTATCAACCTCATATCATGTAGTCAATTTTATTAGAACTTTATTTTTCGACCGTTGCCAAAACTTATTATCATAGAGCACATTTTCGTTGAACCTCTATATTTTGCCGTCAAACGTTGCATCATTCAACCCATTATTACCCAGCACACGTCTTTTGTAAATAGATCGCAAAACGGGAGTAAAAGAAATAACACACATAAATCACACGAACTTAGAGCTCAAATTAGAAGGGGCTTAACTCGAATTCCCGAATGCAGAGGCGCGTTTGGAGCGATCTCACTGCGCATGACGAGATGAGAGAGGTCTAAGATGCGTCAGGATATGAAAGTTCAACTTTAAATTATGATAAAATGGTGAGTGGATGTAGAAACACCTTCAATGGCATTAACAACCTTCTTAAACTAGTCCTCTATATTCGTGAAATATCTTCCTTCTGTCTAGAACCTTTCCATGGCACAATTACTTCCTTGATAGCATGTAGTAAACTGATATGTGTGCCACTCTTAATCAATGTAAGCACAGCTATATAGGTAGCTAGAATTACAATTCGAATATTACTTACCGTTCCTCGAAGCGAATGCTCGAGCGGCTTATGTCGCTCCAAGCGCTCATCGAGCGGCCGCGTCCACGGCGAAAGGAAGATGTGAACGTGGCCGTCGGTCGACGTTCGAGCTCGACGTCAGGCGGGAAGTTGACCTTGGCAGATCCGCGGGAGGAGGGGCCTTCAGCCGACTCGCCGCCACCGGAAAGCTCCATCTCGAAAGCGGTGTAATCCGGTGCCTCGTCGGGGTCTGCGTCACTCCCGTCGCTAGCGGCTGAGAGGGCTTCATAGCCGTAGCCAGGGCGGGCGCCGCCGCCGGGGCCAGCGGTGGCGGGCCCTTGCCCTCCTCGCCCCCTCCCGCACTCCTCGTCTGCAGCCAGCCTCGGCGAAGCCTCGATGCGACTCAATGACGCTGCCTTTACTGTCTGCTCGCGCACGTTCGACGGTGACCCACGCACCGAGAAGCGGTTCGAATACCGTAGTTTGCTGTGGCGAAACGTGGTGCTGTTTTAAGACTGCCCTGTACAAGCACTAATCGGTCTGCTTCTCACAAACACAATCAACTACAGCACAGAGCGCGCGTCAACAAAGTTCATCGATCAAAAAATTTGTTACTAAACATTCTAATTTTGAAATCAATGTCACACCAATTTGACTGACTCTACCGCTGTCAACGTCACAACAATAATTGTCTACCACAAAGGGTATATAGAACTGATTGTTCAGCTAATTCTAATACTCGTTTGATTACGGCTTCAGAAACGTCGAAACGGGGAGCGGGAAAAGCAAGCGTGCAGCGACAAGCGTGCGTGATCCACGAAAACATAGCCCACCGCAGCGGCCCGTCCCCAACCCCGGTCTCGAATTCTTTCCTTAATAGAAATGACTAAACAAATGCGTATAAATACTATGTTTCATACATGAGGTCGTGAGCGTGAAGTAAGTTAAGTATAAAGCGAAGTGAAGCACGCCCGGATGCCACCGGGTGGGGACGATCGATGTACTATCGTGCTAGCCTTTACTAGTACGCGCCGTCACCGTTGCGGCGCTGCTATCTCTTTTCCTCCTTAGTTGCCGCTACACTGCCACCTCCAAAATGTCATCAAAGATATTTAAACGGTGAATAAACTTTTATCGTTATTAACTTTTATGTCACTGAGTGACGAGGACAAAATTACACTAGGCTGAATGAGCAGTAGGAACTAGGAACAGTCGGAAGCAACATGTAGTTGCGTCAGCCGAACAATGGAAAAGGCAACATGAATGTTACATAACAAGGCATTTACCTACATTTATTTTAGACACTAATCTTTGTAGAGTACTTTTTTTTAAATAGACTGTAGCTTACCTTGCATTCGGAAACTCTTACCTTACTACTTATATGTATGTAACTTTCTTAAGAACTAAAATTATTTTTTTAATTAAGTATGGATTTATCTGGAAACGTTTATGTTTCTTGTTATTCAATACACATCAAAATATAAATGTTTATTTTTTAGCAATATAACAATTAAAACATTAAAAAAAAACATTTATTCCATTTAGGCTTGTTACAAATAGCTTTTATAACAATCAAAATCTACACAGGTTCGGAAAAATAAGACCCTAGAAACCTACATGATACTCTGAGTTCTTTAATTTTTTAATTCCATGTTACAATCAACTAGCGACCCGACCTGACTTTATCTAGTGAGGATCTAATAATGTGACGTTATTTACATATAAAATAATCGAAGACCCATCTAAAAAAATTTCTTTTTCCAAAAAAAAAAAACTCAGTTAAAATTTAATACAGCCAAGATCACTCCTGGCCTTGCTCTCTATGTGTTTGTGAAGTTTTATTACGATTGTTTCAGACTTTCCGAAGATTAGCCGGGACAGAACGACACAGACAGACAGATAAACAGACAAAAATTTCAAAAATGGTTATATATGTCTTAATGGCGTGCACGTAACCCCCTCAGTTCAATTTAAGGCAGTTATTTTGATATTTCAGATTGACATTTGATTCTAGGTATAGGTTTTGGCGGGCACCGTCAACGGATTGCTGATCTTGTGTTATCGTTAAAAATAAATATAATAATAATATTATATAAATAAAAGTATGAAGTGTGTATGATTTAGTTTATTGAATAGTTTATGCGCATGTGGACTATTAGTGAAAACGATGTAACAAGTGCTTCGACGGTGATATAAATCCACAGTCACCAATGGTGTTTGACGTAGCTCAACGCTAACGTCAAAATTTCTTCACAACCAGGCGCATCAGCATCGTGTAAGGGATTTGTGAACAAAGTAGTTACTTAAGACTAGGCTGTATGGTCTAAGACCTTTGCCATCCTTACGTCTACAGCACAGGACTCTCTACGTCGACGGAGAGTCCACTGTGATACATGTAGTGACATCTTTTGACGTGCTAGTTAATCTAATAGTATAAAAGTTAATCTAGTAGTATAAAAGTAGATAATATCTAGTCATGCTCTCGGACATACAATCGATAAAACTACGAACACTACTTCAACATTTACTGGCTGGCTTCGACAGGTCTGTTGTATAAATAAAAACTTCGAAGACATATTTATTCGCCAACATGAATCGAGGCACTGCAATGGACACTTCTTGCCCTAAATACCTCTAAGAAATTAATGGGAACTGGAGTCATTCATATATCTAAAGGAGGATTCTAGCTTGAAGATCTATATATTGGAGAATAACTCTAAAACGCCTTTGTTAGGTATTAACGCCTATTTGGAATCTAATATATGAAATCTATTTGATTTATCAGGTAAAATTTAGTGGAAAAGTAACTTAAAGTGCTACGCATAGTTTTAGTGCTGTACAGTTGTAGCATTAAACTTCTTATGAGAGATTAATAAAAAGCAAAAGAAAACAATCACGTAGCATTTATTTACTTCTTTAAGTTATGTTCTATATATTCCTATCACAAAGTAGCTCGGGATTTTATAAAATAACCATTGGATTAGTGTAAATTAATAGTTTGTTTTTAGACTCAGTTTGCTAACTTTGTAATTCTATTTATAATACTTACCTTTTTGTAATACATAAAAATTAAATCATATCATTAAAGTGATAAAAGTATCTAGATTTATAAGATGAGACGTTATAAAATAATAAGGTGCCTTGGTTTAATATGCCGTGTTGTAACTACATGTAGCGTGTGGCGGCGCGGCGTAAGATCTACGAGACATATTTCGTAGAGTAGTATGAATAATATAAGACTGCGAATTGCTAACACCGCCATCTATCGGAAGCTATAAGAACCTTTGGCTTATCCCATTGGCACCTCTTACATCAACCACCAGACAAAATGGGGTGAAGTATACTATCATATTGGGTGTAATAATGGCTTTCTGAAATGACTTTGCTGGAAGAAAAAGGGTTAATATATTAGATTTACAATTAAACACTATTTTCAGGGTTATCTAATTCTATGGTCAGCGTAAGCCCATAAAGTAAACGAGCAGCAATTTTTTTTGACTTGTAGTATAGGACGCATGCTCCTATAACAGTAGCGCCTACCTTACCGGTACGAGAATGCATTTTTTTATACGATAGGGTGACAAACGAGCACACAGTCCACCTGATGGTAAGTGGTTACTGTCCCCCACAGACATCTACATCTACCCTCGATGACGAATCATAATGCAGATGCTTTGTCACCCGTGTGCACTTAGGTGGATTGCCTCGTTTCCAGTAAAAAGGGTCTCTGTTTCTCTACACTCACCACACGAAACAGCAGCATTAAGCTACTATTTAACGCTGGTATTCTGTGAGAGCGTGGTCCTTCCCCGGTCGAGCCGACCCATTTGTGCTACAACTATACTACTAATATAACTTCAGCATGGCTCTAGCACGTTTAAATTAATAAATTAAATTTGAATTCAAAAACTTTTTCTAGAATTCTTACTTATCCATTGGTCTATGTCAATTACGCTTATTCTACTGCGACTATTATCTTATAGTTTTATTTGACTAACATTATTACTTTGTATAGTTCACTACTACCCCATACCTTTTCGAAACTCTGCTACTGAAACTCGTCGAAGTAAGATAGTAGAACTTGGTGTGCTGAGTTTGGCTTCGTTTAGTTAGTTATGATGAGATCTTACCTCCGGATTTGATAAAGTGACCTGAAGGTGTACTTTGGTTAATGCTATATTAAAATACTGGTTATCACTAGATGTAAACTTATTGAAAACGAAATAAAGTTGATGAGATTTTTTTTTATTAACGAGTCAGAGGGAAAGGACTAGTTTTTACGATAATGCCTAAGAACAAATACCTAAAAATTAAAGTAATATTAAGGTTAATTTCTGATTGTTCTATTGAATTTTTTTCAATTAACAATAATAAAAAAATACATCTCAATAATAATAACATAGAAGAAAAAAATTTCAATTGTTGATAGAAAAATTTTTTCTACTTTTTTACGATCATATGAGCATTATGTGTCGTGCACTTTTGGATTTTCCAAACTTTTTTTAATAACGTTTGACATAAAATTATAGGAAAATTATAAATAATAATAATAAGGTTATTTATGAAAACTTGTGTGTATTTAAAATACTTTAAAAAAATGATGTATGACAACGCTTAAGGCATGCACATTTGGTTTAACCAAAGGTTTTATTTAAATTATCCAATTGGTCACTTTTGGGGTTATCCTCTGATATATACCTAATCATCAAGCCTGAATCATCCCCGACCGTTGAAGCCAGTGCCGGATTATCTACGTAGCAAGAGTAGCAATTGCTACGGGCCCCGCGCAAAAAGGGGCCCCACGTATCCAAGCATCCCATCAACGCCTAAGCGTAATTATTTGAGTGAAACGTAGTGTATTGAATTACTTGATGTCACAAACGTAAAACGTTGCACCTTTTCCGTCTAAAATAATCCACGTGGGACAATCGGTAACCGATTATTATGTTGACGGAAAATAAAACACAGAATTTCATACGGTAACGCACTAGTTCCAACGTTCTCGTACTACCGATTATGTGGAAAGATCTGTGTACGACTTTGCCTTGGCTTATGATCTGATACAACTGGTCACTTCGCCCACTCGGATTTAAAATCTTAAGGATATTAAACATTCCCTGTTAAACCTTCTGCTGAACTCTCATCAGTACGGCTATCAGTTCACATTCATTCAGTGCTGGAGAGCCATCATAATTTCGCTCAGACTGACGTCCGGGATATCATCGGAACAGTGTCGGATAAGACTTGCTCTGGCATCGTTACTCAAACTTGGGTGCAATCTCACTCAGAAACAGACAGACAGTTTCTTCAAGCTTGTCATTTACACTATGTATTGAGTATTTAATTGTTTTTTACCACTTTATACTTAAGAACGCGTTTGCAAATCAACCAAAATTAGGGTGTTTTT